GAAGGAAAGGGAAGGGGAGAGGGGGATGAGGGGGGCTGAGGAGGAGGAAGAGAGGGAGGAGAGAAGCACTGTAAAGCTTTATAGTCACATGTATCACAGTCACATGGAGCCTGGGTGGGTGGGTGAAAGGATGGAGAGATGTTTACAGGCACAAAATGACCATGAAGGGAACATTTTTGAAGGAAACGGGAAATATCAGAACAGCCGATTTACTTGATTTTAAAGCAGCTTAATCAAATCTTCTGCTGAGATTATGGTTATGTTTTTGCATATCTTGTTGGTCATTTCTATCCAACTCAAACTCCCTGCTTCCTCCACTTTCTCCCCCCACCCTCCTTTTATCTCCCTCTATCTTTCCCTTCCCTTCCCTCCCTCCTCCGATCTCCTCCCTGCTCTGCTCTGCTGGAGCTCAAATCACAACCCCGGTCCCTGGCAGATGGAGGATAGGAGAGAGAAGCTCTTAACTAGCCAGCCTGAGCCTCTGCTCTCTGCACACCAACTGCTGCCTGCCTCCCCTCCCTGCATCGGAGAGAAGCTCCACCATCACACACACACATAAACACACTCCTCCGGCTCCTCTGGGGACGCCGTATCCTCCCGGGGAATGGTGCGTGTATTAGTCCAGATCTGGCCACACTAGAAAGGACATGGAAACATAATAGATGGATGTTCTGTATCATAATATACTGGTTCAGGTTATGTTGTCAAACGGCCAGAGGTGGGAAGAGTAACCAAAAAATTGTCCTCAAGTAAGAGAAGCTTCAACGTTTTCTCACTCAAGTAAAATAATTTCTCAAGAGTAAAAAAGTGTTTGGTAAAATAACGACTCAAGTACTGAGTAACTGATCAAAACATCAATCATTTAATATTTAAAAATGACAAAATTCAGACGGACTGAAATGTGGAAATGTTGGTGTTTTACAAATCTTATATCAAAGTAATTAATGTAAGTAACAGAATTACAAAATAACAACATCAGGCAAAATAAACAAGTTTCCAAATCTGTTTCTTTCAATATAAAACTTATAAAATTGTAACAAAAACTGCAGGTGTATGTCTGTCTTTGGTGAATTTTTGGTTAAAACATGTTTGTTCCATCTCCATTTGGTGAAGTCACTCATAGTGGGTAGAGCATCCAGAATTTTTACTCCGGTAGAGTAAAAATATATTTGGTAAAAAGGCAACTAAAAGATACTTTTATTCAAGTACTTAATATTTAAAATATCACAACATCATTTAGACCAAAATATAAAGTTAGATGAAAACATTGGTATGTTAAAGGCCTACAATAACATAATTCATATATGTATAAAATAACTAAAACATAAGATAAATGGAAACATTTTTCCAAATCAATTTCTTTCCATGTACTGCAAACCTCATCAAACTTTAACAAAAACTGCAGGTGTGTCCAGTTCTTCATTCAGTGACAGAGTATTCATCCACTGTGAAATACTTCAACATAAGTAAATCCATCCAAGAAATCACTGAAGTCAGAGTAAAATTGCGTTTGTTATTTATTTATTTATTTTTTGGTGTTCTTTATTCAGGGAAGCTGCTCGCAGTGCAGAGTATCCAGAAGAGTAAAAGAAAAACGCACAGCGTCTATAAATGCTCCAAAAAGCACCTTCTATTCAAGTAAATGGAACTAGTTCTCTTAAAGACGCGATGTGAAGAAGCCAACGACATTGTCTGATGGGTGTGACAAGGAGTCACAGATATGAGCGCTTTAATGTAGAACCAGGCAGCGGTAAACAGGCCAGCGCGCTCCTCGGGCTCCCAGGTGCCTTTGACTGCCCCTGACTTTCATCTGGGCTCATCTGGCGGCCGCGGCTCCGCCTGGCATGAGCCTGACCACCAGTTGCGGTCTGAGGGAGAGGCAGCTCCTCTGTGCTATTTGCAGCCCTGTCTGTCCAAAGGAATCTGGTGCGCTGACTGTCACTCAGCGGCCGCGTGTTTTTTATCACTAATTCTACCACAGGGATGCGGTTGTCCATATGACCACTGCGGAGGCTGCTGCCCCGAGGCGAGCTGACACTGTCTGTGTAGAAGGACCAGACGTTGATGTAGGGGCTGTTCAAATGCTGCTTGAATATCAAGACACGCGCGCACGCCGCGTCACGGCCGCGCGCACACACACAAACGCACAAAGCAGTGCCCGACCAGTTGCTGGGACTGATGTTCCTTTCAGCCATCATAAGGCTGACACTCAAGGTTTTTTTTTTCTGTCTTCATGCCAACCCTGTGTCAGTTCCTGGCTGCTCTGTCCAACAGTGATGGAGACACTTTAACTGGCTGCGGCTGGGGCCTTTGGCCGCGGGGTTGCTGAGGCTCGGTGAGATGGTGGGGGCTGCTTGGCCTGTCAACTGGTTGTGACTGGGGCCCGTCTGCACGCAGATCCGATCTGGACAGCTCTCTCTTTCTCTGCAGCTAGTGGCATCGTCCTGCAGAAAGGCACACGGTGTAGAGCTGCCACTCTGCTCTCGTGCAGCATATGCTCCGGCTGAGGGTCAGAGATGTTCAGTCCAAAGTGCCTGAAATAAAAACCTCACATGTCTGCCTGACAGTTGTAGTGCAGCAGTAGATCTGCAGTGAGGAGGGCAAGTAAATCTGGTTTGCTCTTATGTTCACACTGGTATCACCCCAAAAAGCCAATATTATCGTGATTCAACTACCTTTGAAAATAACCTTCAATTAGGTATCAAACATACTTTCCATCAAGTCCACATTTCTGCAGCAACATTGATCTGATGTAATCATAAAATAATGATAATTAACACAAATGAAGGCTTGAAAACATCTACATGACATGTTTCATTCAGATACTGAAATAAATGAACTTTTCAATAATATTCTAATTTATTGGCTGAGTCTGTAGCTACATTGCTGGGGAAATAATTGGTTCCTTACAAATTTCTTGTGTTTTCATCACACTACATGAAGTAAATTTAATATTACATATAGCTTGAATAAAAACAAAATGTAGTTAAGGGGGGAAATCCAAGCCTACCTTGTCCACTATGAAATTAAAACTGCCCAAATTTGTAAATCATGAGTTAATTGGGATATATAAAATTTTTAGGTTAAATTTTACTCTTTATGCAGGAGAATAAATGAATTACTTAAACAAAATATATCTGACAACATGAAGTATGCTAAAAGCATACTTCATGCCATTGAGTTAAATTTCAAACTTAAACAGTCCATGTAACAATCATTTCACAATAGCCTAAGGTCCAGACTATCTGTACAAAGTAAAGATTAAAACAAGGGGCTGATTTTTACCAGGTTAAAAAATATATAAAAATGTTCATAAAAAAAGCCTAAAGCCTGTGATAGCTGTGAACTGATAAGATTCACCAGAATCTCCTGCTGTTTTGTCACAGTCACCAACTGTTTAGTTAGAGCATAATGTGGTGTGTGCATGTGTGTGTGTGGTGTGTGTATGTGTGTGTAGGGGGGAGTTGGGGTGGGTTTCAAACCTGGATGGGAAGACGTGGAGGGGATGAGGGCAGACATGAAAGTTGGCCTATTTCATGGTCAGGCTGCGGGACCGCCGAGGCCCTGAATGGCAATGCTGCTACTTTAATGTGACAGACAAGTCCCGAGGCAAAAAACCCCACGGAGCTGCAGCAGGCAAGCGGGCCCCAGGTAGGGCTGCAGTTGATGAGTGTGACACCTTCACCGTCCCGCTGCAGCCGCCGCACGCTCCGCTGCCTCTGCCTAGAGGAGCACCAACAAACCCGCCCCAAACAAACCCGCCGCAGAACCTGTCCTCCCCAGAACCTGTCCTCCCCAGCCAGTCATGTTGGCTATACTAGTCTCCTTTTATAGCCGCTCGAAGACCAGCCCTTGGGGATCCCACCTGCCGTGGACGCGGCGGCAGACACATCCTCTCCTCACGACGCTGTTTGCCCAATCAGGCGGAGACGGGCGAGTGTGTGTGGCATCTTCAGAGCAGCAGAAAGAGACGGAGGAGCCCGGAGGCACCGCGCTGCCTTCCCACATGCACTCACAAATCAAGCGGCGCCGCTTTCCCCGACGCCTCCTGCACGCACAGGTGGAGCTGCGTGAGCACTTGACCTCTCCATCTACCATTACTGTGGGCTACAAAGTGCTGCGTTAAGCGCAACCTTTCTTCTATATTGGCCTATTAGGAGCCACAGGGCGCTCTGATGGAGGGAGCATCCCTATGCATGTGTGCGTCTCAGCACGCTGGCGAACATGAGCTGATCTATTGCAGTCCTGGGATGAGAAGGCCCAGGAGTTCATTAGGGCTGCAGCTCTGGAGAGCAGCCGCGGGGAGCTGCGCTGTAGCCAAGTGTTGCCAGGAGGCTGAGCTGCGCGTCCGGTGGTGGGAGGCGGGGAGGGAGGGCTGCTGCTGATGTCCATGGCATGTTTGCTAACAGCCTGATTCCATCAAGTGCTGCAACAGCAGCGCAGCCAAGTGCGAGGGCTGACCCTCCCCTGCACCCCTCCACCTTCCTATTTTTAACAACACAGCGCATCAGTCAAAGGTAGACAGTTCAGTCAAGCTCTTGTGGAGTGCAAATGATGCTAATATTCCTGCATGTTTGTACATTTGGGAGCAACTAAAGATAACGAGAGATGCAAAAGCAAAAGAGGTCCATCTGACTTTTTGCAGTTACGTTCGCTCATATGCCCTTTGTCTTGAGGGCGAAGATCTAAAATGCACTCTCAGTTTTCATCTCCCTACTCCCACAACCCTTGTAAATGCATCTGAGGAGGGGAATACCGCAAAAATCTTAAATGCTCTTAAAGAGACATGAAAAAACAAAGCTCGGGGCGTTCTGGTGGACATTGGAGAAAAAAGATGTGCAGAAAACAAACCACGCTAAGAGAAAACAAAGTTATAAAAGACCATTTTACATTAAAGTCTAGTGAACAAATCCTATCTCCAAATCCTCCATTTGTGACAATGAAAACAATCCTAAGAGTAGTTGTGATTCATAAGAGGTAGGTATTGCACAGACACTACCAATATTTCATCATTTATTACACAGCAAAAAAATAAAAAAAAGACTCACATGCAGGAAAAATAACGACAGGCAGGAGACAAGCCAGGAGAGCTGCGCTCATTCCAACTAGCATTTAGCATTTTATCTCTGCCTCGTTACAGCTCTATACGTAAAACAGGGAGTTGAAGTGTTTCTTCATTGCAGGGTCCTTCACGTTGACTTGGCCATATGGACACTGTGAGAGAAAATGACTACATCAAAAGATGCATGTGGAGCAGCTCTTTAATCACACTGAGAATGGATGGAAATATGACTTATAAAACAAATGAAAAACATAATGCAAAGGGTCAGAATGAGAGACATCAGGACAGAACAGGGTGATGCAGGACGAGACTGGACTGGAGGGAAGATCGGTGTGGCGACGCAAAGCAGGCCGGGATTGAATCGGCCAGAGTCAGACTCAGTGGAGCAAAGCAGGATGTCATTTTTACAAGTCTCCTTTAGAATGAGTAATTCTGCACATAATGTGATGAAACAATTGAGACTAAAACCAGAGATCAATTCATTTCACCACTTTGGAAAGTCTCGTCTTGTGAGTACAGACATGGATTAAAGGAACTGGGGGAAAAAAGCAGAATTGTGACTTTAATCCAGATGTGCACATGGGAGCAAACAGGTTCGATAACAGAGATGAGCAGCGCAGGTGGAAAATGTCTTTCTGGAAAAACATTTTGAATTTAAGTGATTTTGTTTTTTCACGTTGTCAAGGCTTTGGAAGAGGATTAAGTCTGAAACGTTTGCCCATTCTTCATAGCAAAATAGCTCGAGCTCAGTCAGATTGGTTAGACAGACTTTTTAAAAGTCTTGCTCTAGGTGTGGACTTTGACTGGACCATTTTAACAAATGCTTAAAATGCTTGGAACGAAACCATTTCATCATAGCTTTAATGGTTTCTTGTGGTTGTTCTGCTGCCTCTGCTTCAGTCTCAGGACTTTTCAAGCACCAAAATTCCCAAACAAAACAGACTGAAGCCTTGGGTTATTAACTCACAGTAAGACTGATTTTCTTTGGCATTAGACAATTCAACCGTCTTTTATCGCTCTGGTTTTTCCGGATTGGCATGTTTTATGTCAGGAAATAAAAAAAACTGTTGCCTGAACCATTTTAATGATTTAATTTTGCTCTAAATTGATTCATCAGTTAATTTCTCAAACATTTCTATTTTTGTATGTGATTCGTAATTCTTTTACAATTATGGATGAACATATTTTGTGCTTTCAATGTGATTTTCTTTTCTCTCTCGCTTTACATGTATGAAGGTGGCATATGAATAAACTTGCGTTCAGACTTGTTTTGTTTTAGTGGCTCTGTAAAAGCAACTTTTACCTGTCCCGATCGTTCACCTTTCCAAAAAAAAAAAAAGGCTTTTATTGGCTCCAGACATGTAGTTAAAATTTGAACATTTAGAAAACTCTCAACCTAAACATAAAGGTACTTTATTTGTTTAGATGCGCCTGTAAATGCATCAATAGAACACACCACTATACTTTGACTATCAATTCATTACCAAATTACATGCTTTCTTTCATCCATAATGTTACCAGTCAAACAAAACGTACAGCAGACCAAAAAGAGTAGAAACACAATGGGGGTAAAAAACAACAACAGCAAAACAGCTGAGGCTGGATAAAGGAGACAAAATGTGCAGAAGATTACCAGCGATCCAAAGGACGACACAACCTGGTGACAGCAACAACAAAAAAAGAGAAGAAGACAAAAGAGCTCACGTGTCTGCAGGCGCTGCCGCAGCATTTCCCTCTCTGAAGGTGGGCATACTCTGTGAACACCTTATACCCACTGGAAGGGTCCACATACATCTGCTTCTTTGCCTGAACATAATGAAGATATTATAATTTAATTAGCATGACAAACAAGCATGCATGCCAGTGTTTGACCCCTGCATACATAACTGTATACAGTACATTTAATTACGCAAAGGTATGCTCTGTAAGTAAGCAGCCTGAACGCACTGATCCTGGATATGGGTGTACACACACCAACAGATTGGCTCAGGTGAAGGGAAAAAGGGAAAAGCTGACCTCTGTGCATAAAAACAGATGTAAAACAGGTTAATTCTCATGATGTTGCTGATTAATTTGTGCTATCCTTTCGTGCGACTCCAAAGGCGAACGATTAATCAACCGTGCTACCTCTTCAACACACACTTTCTAGACAGTTTGTTTAGACTAATCGTTCCACAAAAACACCTCTTGACGGCGAAACACATTGAACTTCTCTTGCCATGTTTAGGGAAGTCAGAAAATGTCATCTCTCAGTCTGTTTCAAACTGAGAGCGCACTAGTTGGTGAGCTTTGACAGCTCACAAAAGCAAAAAAAGCCTGGGGCCTTTCAGTGACACGGCCTGTCATTTCACATGGCGGTGCAGGGCCGCATAGTGAAGCTGGCATTGCCGGGCCCCCCCACGGTATTGTGCTTTTCCCACCCAGGCCCTACCGCTCTCCTCAGGTCGCGGACAACTTGCCTCAACTTCATCCTCACTCCGAAGCGCAATATTTACAACAGATAAGCCTAAAGGCACGTAGACGACACCTTTGCACCGCTGTCATCGAGGCGGAGCGCCTCGCCCCTGTATGAGAGAGGAGCAAGTCAGAGCTGGTGAATATGAGATGTCTGACAAAAACGATTACCGCTACCGGGTGGGTTAAAAACGTAATACTGCAGATAATAAATCAAATCAGTCACATTGGTTTTGGGTTTAGTGGAAAAATGCTAACTGTTAAAGTAAAGTTTTAGAAACACAGACCTTGTGGATACATGGTTTTCAATAGTTTTTTTACAACTAGAATCTGAAAAGTGCGACCTGTATATATATTTAGTTCTAAAATCCTTCCATTGGAAAATAGACTTTAAAATACGTCTATTTTAGCTTATGAATCACATCCCCATAACAAGAACTTGGCAAAATGTTAAACATGACAAAAATGAAAATGTGCGTAAATCATAGTTGAACAAAATGTGGCAGTTTTCAGCAATAGTATCCTAATTTTTTATTTTTTTGATTCCTTGCAGCTTCAGTTAAACATTGAGTTTCCACATGATGGACAATAATAAGGGCTTCACCTGACATTCTCTACCAGGTCCAACTGTTTTACAAAACGTGAAACTGATGAGACAGACTGTTTACCAGAATTATTTTGTGATGCCTCTTATTTCTTTTATTTGGTCAGGATCAGGTTCTTCTAAAGGTCACATGACAGTCTGGTCATTTTATCCATTCATCGTCTAAACCTACTTGTCCTTGCAAGGTCGTGGGGGGAGTTCTGGTGCCTATTTCTAGCGGTCATTGGGTGAGAGTCAGTGTACATCCTGGACAGGTCATCGGTCCACCACAGGGTGAAACAGAGACACACCGAACAAATACACAAACCTGAGAGCATCTTAAGAGAGACTGATTAATATAACAGTTATGTTTTTGGACTGCAGGAGGAAATCTAAAGGGAGAATGTGCTAATTTCATGCTTAAAGACCCCAACCCAGGATTCAAACCAAGAGCTTCTTGCTGCAAGGCAACTGTGCAACCGGCTGCACCATCAACCATCATAATCGATTTTTTATCAATTATTCGGACGATTTGACAACACTGATCAATTTATCGGATAAAAAAATTTGGCACGATCTGCAGATTTTTCATTTAACCACTTACGCCTTTTTAATATACTATTAGAAGTACATTAAAAGACGCACACAAATAATTTAAATCTCTTTTTAAATAAGATTTTTTGCCTAAAATTAAGTAACGTAGCATTCCTTTAGTGCATGTTTGATCATTTGCAGAAAAGATGCATCTGCACATCAGCATGTGAAAAGCTCGGCCCTTTCCAATGATTAAAAGTGTAAAGCTAATCTGATTACATGTTGCTTCATATGATATCTTTTTTTTAAAGAGTCTGAACCAGGTGAAGTTACAACTAAGCCACTTGAGGAGTTTTGGCTGGAACCTACTTATGGACCAGTGCCTCTCTATTCTGGTCCTCAGGGAACACTGCCCTACATGTTTTAGGTGTTTTCCCATCTAACAGGTTCCTGCAGCACTTCATGGCTGCAGAGAAGGTCATGCAATCATTTGAATCAGGTAATCAGGAACAGAGACACCTAAAACATGCAGAATTTCTTTATATATCTTAAATGCAAAAAGTACATGTATTTTTTGGTAAAATTTTGCCTTAATTACTGCTGTATTCTTTCAGCAAATGTCATTTTATTGAATCTGTCTACTCCAGTTAACGATTAGCCTATGACATAAATTTAACATGAGGTTAAAGAGTCTGACTTTTGAGCTCATTGCACTTCCTTTTATATGGATCACCTGTGGTGGAACTACAGAAAACTGCAGGTAGCCTGTCAGGATGCTTTCAGAATCTGCAGGTCAAATGTTGGTCATGAGCAACACCCCAACTTTTATGCCTTGCTGGGGAAACACAAGGATACATTTATGTGCTATCTGAAGGTGTCAAAAAGCTTGCTACACCTCAAGCTTTATCTCAAATATTTTTATTTTATTTTAAAATGGCACGGACTACCTTTTGTCTGGAAATAAATTAGATTTGGATAGATGGATGGAATGCTTGAGAAGTACCATTTATGGTGTGATTATGTCTCGTGTTAACTGGAGTTGTTCTGATGCCTGACAGTTTGTGGTACCTCACACGCCTCCCTGTGGAGTCTGTGGATGGTCACCTCCTGCTCTGTGAGCCTCTGTGCAGCTGCAGCGCTGCTGTCTTCACTGGTCTGCAGGTCGCAGCTGCTTCTCTCTCGCTCCGAGCTCCTCTCCTCTGAAGGCTTCGTCCCTGACATCTTTACGAGTCGCTTATGAAGCTGGACACGGAGCTGAATCGACCTGCTGATGAATGCTCTGCTGGGGAGCTTTCTGTGAAACATGCTCGCGTAAAAAGCCGGTTTCTGTCATTTAGAAACGCTGGAAACCGACAGAACCCCGCGGACACTGTTTACATTAAACAAAGATTGTCTATGGAGAATGTTAACTTTCTCCCTGCTCCTCCTAGTTTCCCCTGTACAGCCTTGTGTTTCACTTCCTGATCTGCCTCTTTTTACATTTGTCACATGTGGTAATTTTAACTGCCAGACTGCACAGCGCCCCTGCTGTTTCAAAGCTGCTATGGTCTCTAGTTGTTTTAGTTTTGAATGAAAGAGAAGAAGAAGCCTACAGGTGGCTCTCAGTAAATCAGATTATCAGCGAAAATCTAATTTATTTCATTCATTTATGACATTCATGAATTACCTTGATGCTTTACACACAGTGGTATATCAAGTACCACAGTTATTTTAATGATTATAGCTTTCAGAGTACTACAATATTAAAATGTTACTAATTATCTGTAAAAAAAAAAAAAAAAAAATTCTGTCTTCAGTGCAGAAATGTTATGTTAGCCACCAAAATCTGAATCCCTTTGTCACAAAAGAGCATTGCTGAAAAGGTTGGTTGTTAAAAGACTGTTATATCTGAGCACAGGGGCGCTAAGAGAATTCCAAGGGCCCTTAACCAACAGGGGGGCCCCCACAATTTTTTTTTGTCATAGATGTAGGAAAAACCTGGGGCCCTATAAATTATAAAATTAGGGATATTCCATTTTCAAAATAGTTTTTAGCAGTAAAAATTTAATGATATCCCCCCTAGATTAAAAAGCACACATCCATATTTGCACTGAAGCCCTCTGGATCTGCATGAAATGGTTCGTCCAGCAACAGTCAGTACATCACAGGAATGGCTGCAGCTGTTAGTATGCTGCTTAGGAAAATTATACAATCAGGTTTTCAAAAATACAAAGAGAGAGAAAAAAAGGAGATTGTCAACCATTTAGCATAGTTAGCTTAGCTTCAGTACTACTGTTTTCCTCCTTTACTTTTGATATTTATGGATTACAACTGCAGAGTTGACACCAATCTAGCAGTTTGTGACATCCTGAAAAAAAATATAAGCCACAAAATGACATTATTGAAGAAACCGGCTGTTTGCTGAGTGTTCAAAAATATTAAATAAAGCTGAATGTGAAGAAAAATAGGTCTCTATTTGTAACCAGCTCATATATGTGAGTTAAATTTTCTGAAATGGTTCACTGAAAATAAAAAACTTTTGATAGTATAATTCCTTGAGATACACCTTGTAGTAAAATCCACCTTACATAAATATATTATGACACAGAAAAAATGAATAGCATAAAATCAATTTTTTACATTTTCAGATAATTTTGTTTTAGAAATGCAATATTTCACCTTTTTGAAAGACACAGCTAACACGGTTTTGTTATGTTTGAGGTATTTTTTAAGAGTTATTCCATCTTTGTGATATGAGCTCATTTCCTCTTATATGCTTGGAAGCACTACAACAATCTCTTAAAAAGGGTCTCATGTATTTTCTGGGTTATGCTGTGAACGGTATAGTTTGTAACAAAGAAGCAGCTTCTGCAAAAACCGCTGACAGAGTTTTCAGTGCACCTTTAACATTATGCTTTGAACATCTTGTCAATCCCACCACTCTGTCGGAGCAGAGAGGTTAACCTCGACTCCACAAAAAAGCTTCAGTGGCTTCGCTTTCCCGCAGCACACAGCGAAGACGCATCTTCTCTCCGTAAAATATTAAAGCAATACAGCTACTTGGACTTGGCTCTGCAAGGTTGATGAGTGGACGCTAATGAGTCCTCCCAAGGTTACCCACCGCTGTAAGCCACTGCTGATTATGTGTGTGCTCAGAACTATGGATAATGAAACTTGACAAGTGTCTTTTGACTGACATTGTGCGGTCAATTCACCCTCAGACAAATTACACGTCGCTGGTAAAGAGGAATTTGCATGCACATCATTCAGCGGGGTGATCATTACAAAAAAAAAAAAATAATTATTGGTTAGGCAGATACATCTTAATAACTCCTTTGTGGAGGTTCTGCAGCCAATATCAACATAATGACATTCAAAAACAACTAAAAAATGACATGCATGTTACACATTTGCAATGGAATTAACACTGGAATCAATGCATTACTGTGGCATGCATTTTCTATAGTGCGCTTTGCTGTGTATTTTATTTTAATGTGCATTTCAGTTCAGTTAGAAGTAAAGTGTGTGCATCTCATGTTTATCTATAAACATTGTCTGGAACTCCAGTGATCAGAGAAAAGATAATTAAAAAGTGCCATTAATATCCAAAAGTATACTGATGGTAATAAACTACTGTAATAAATATAACTGTCTTTTTATTTGTTACATTTGTTACTTAGTGCGTAGTATGAACATGTTATTCCTTTTGTCCCTATGTCAACAAAACATCTCCACCACTATAATTTCATATGAATGTCTGAAGCAGCATGCCCCAGTCTGCTGCCACTTAATTACCTTCCCGTCTGCCTGAAGACATCTGGCTGTGATCCAGAAAACCTCTCTGTTCAACAGTAAGGAGAAAACCATTGGAAAAAAATATGCAATTTTTGCTTTTGGAAAAATAAAATGGAGGAAAAATATGCGGTACATCATGCAATATTTGGTAATACTTTAAAATCAAGATTTGAGAAATCTAACTTTTGTAGCTGCAACAAATTACTTCCTCATGACACTTTCCAATACAAGCATGTTGAATTCATGTTCACTAATACGGAATCAAATTCAGTCAAAATTTAGTTTACATCCATTTTATTCCAGTACAATCCTAACAAGTTGCCAAGTTCAGATCTGAAGTCAAATTGATCATGCGCTTGGTGAAAAAAACAAAAAAACAACAACAAAAAAAATCTGTTTAGGGAATCCCATCTGAGCATATGAAGTCATCAACTGTGCAACAATCTCTCATCGAGAGCAAGCATGTGGTAACAATGGAGAGGAATTGAACAATTTTAACAGGGCAAAGCCTACAGGGGAGTTAGGCTAGAACTTTAGAGAATACAGCATCAACATCTTCCTTTTGAAAAAAGAAAAAATGACCAGTCAATGGCAGAAACTGATCCTTAAAAACACATCTTAATGCAGAAGCACTGGGCCAATAACACTTTGTATGAAAAAACAAAAGAGAGTACCAAGTGGTTAAGGCACTAACAGCTTGGTTTTAAAAATGATTAAAAATTACATCTAGATGATATCTACTCTCTGCAGGTAGAGAAACAAGGAAACAAAGAAAGTCAATGGCAGCAATTGCTCCATAAATGGATGCAGTCAAATACAAAGTCTACATGGTGGCAATAGCTACATAAACGGCTTGAGACTGGACTTTTAAAGTTCTGTTCTCAGCCAATCCCCACTCAATCTGACAGAACTGGAACAATTTTATGAGGAAAAATGGGGTGAAACTGCAGCATCCAGATATGCAGCCTCAATGAGATCTGTTCACACAGACTCAGTGCTGTGATTGCAGCCAAAGGCGCATCTACTAAATACTGACTAGAAGAGGGCAAACCTTTATGCAGTCACTTGTTTAATGTTAAATATTTGTATTAAATTGTCACTATTTTTGAAGAAATCAGTTTTCACATTGATATTAATTTTTTTAAATTAACTTTTGTCAAAAAGTCAAATTTTGCTGACGTGGACTGATTTGTTAAAGCAATAAAAGGTTAGAATACCCATGAGTGTGAATATTTTTGAGAACATTTTTAGTCACTATTAGAGCATTGACCTAAGTGTTTTTCTTTGGCAGAAACAGAGAGGGTACAAAGTCATCTGTAATAATTGCTCCATAATTCGCTTCATTTAGGAAAAGAAACACATCTAAACACGCCAGGAGTTCTTTCTATGGGAATAAACTAAAACAAAGAGTACATAAAGTTAATGGCACCAATAACTATGTGAACAACTTTGTCCTTAAGGAGACCGACTAAGCAAAAAACCAGAGGAAATACTTTCAGTGGAAATAAAACCAAAGCAAGAACACAAGATAAAAATAGAAAACGGATTATTTTAAGGACTCAAAATGAGCATTAAGTTATGATTCACAGTGTCTGAACTATATTTTTATTCTGACTGTAAGGTTAACGGCAATACATTTACATGGATGCTGTGGTTCGAGCTGTGAGCACTGCACTAGGAAACAAGAGACTTTGTTATGTTTGGAGAATTGTAATAAAGAGTCCTTAAGCAAACTTTTAGAAGTAATTTAAAGTGCTAATGCATGTAAACCATTATTGGTAATTTAAAAACAGATGAAACTGAGTTATTCACAGCTGCCTCTGCGTTTGTTTCATGCGTCAACTGCTGCTGTCTAACATGGTTAGTGTTTAAGGGCCATGCTCTCTTGACACACTGTAATTATGCAGGAGAAAGTCAGGCAACCGTGCCAGCCTTCGCCACCCTTCCTCTGTGCACCGCAGTTGAATCAACTTCCCACTGAGCAGCATAGCTGCTGAAGCCACAAAGCTTTGCCAAAGGACACATCAGTGGTGGCGCTGAAAGAGGGGCAAAAGCTGCTCTTTGATTTATTTTTTTACCTCTCAGATTCATCTGATCAATTTCCATGCCTCAGTCTGCATTTGCATTAAGCAATACAAAGATGTCAGTTTCTGTTGCTTCAAACGCTAAGTACACTTTTAAGGTAACAGTTTTCCTGTGTCAGTCCGTGGTGACAACTTTATTTGTAAGTCAGCTTCAAACACCACATGCCAACATGGGATTGGAGCAAGAAAGCTATTAAAACCACAAAGAAAACTGAAGTGCAGCACTCACTAATGCATGAAGAACGATGATAGAATGTGATGCCTAAAGTGTAACTAACCCACAAATCAACTTTCTTTTGCAGATGAAATATCTAAATAGACTCCTCTGGTTCTACCTTTTTGTTTCTGTTAAAATTTTGACATTTCTGTGTAAATTTGTTTAAATACTCTGCAGCGCTTCCCTCCTTAGGATGACCATTGGCTGCTGCAGTTAAACGTTCTTATTGGTTAATGGTACAGCTTTGTTAGCATCTCTCAGCTCTGGTTTACCATCTCACTGAGAAACGACCCTGGTGACGAGTCAGGAGTTGAAATTGCGAACATGCCGAGTATTGATCCATGTCAATGGATTTGCTTTCACGTGGTTAGTTAGACTTTTATGTTCAAAAAAGTGAACGTGAAAGATTTTTTGAAGTTTTACATTCAAAAATCAAGTCATTGTTGTTTTTGTGACACGTTCCTGTCTGGGGTTTAATGAAATTGGTTTGCATTTTAAAATGACTTTTATTAAGTTGAAGCAACTAAATATATCTTTCTCCCATTTGATCTCATGGTCCTTTAGAAGAAGAGTACAGATATTTTATGCGCCACTGAAATAGGAAACAAAGTGCAGGTCCTGTTTCATAATAATGCTTTTTCAGACAGAAGTTGAAAAAACTTTTAGAACAGCGACTTCTAGCATTCAGAATTTGGGGGCCCATTGTGATATCACAACTGGATTGGCCTTGAATTTTTTTTAATCGATTCTCGTTGCCATAATTGATAAAAGAAAATTTATTGACCATACTTGTTATGTTTGTGTTTGTGTATGTTTGTACATTTCAGCACCAGCCAAACTTTGGGTGGAAGCTGGGAAGTTTGAGACTCTGTCCATATTTATTACAATATTGCCTTGCACCAAGATTCTTTGTGGAGCTTGCATTTTCTCTGAGTGCATCTGTGTTTTTTCCCCTTTCTTTCTGCTTACTTGGGCTTCTTCCCATCATCCCAAAACTTGCATGTCAGGTTAACGGGCCACTCTGAACTGTCTGAAAGTGTGAGTGTGTGTGTTGGTGGTTGCTTGTCCAGTGTGTTTCTGTGTTGGCCTCTGACCCACTGACTGAAGGAAATGAGTGTTTGTAACATATGGCCACTAATAATCTTGGCACACCAAAACATAAACCATGATCTTTTTTTTTTTAAATCATCTAATATTCTGCAACATATCTACCAACTCATTAGTCATAAATTCTTGTTTTCAAACATCTATTAATGATTTCATATGTGCATAACCTGCTGAGTCCCTGGAAGTTTGGAGTCAGGGGAAGATGGTCAAAGAAGGCAAACAAGTTACGTAAATAAATGTCTTATAGATTTGTGCATAAAAAGTGAAACATTAAAACAATTAGAGTGGTGGATGTGTCTTTTGTGGGTTTCAGAAAATGTAAAACTTAACCTCCTGGTGATGTCTGCTTGCAAAATGTGAAATAATATAGAAAATGCATAGATAATATAAAAAATAAGATTGCATACTATTTATTCCATTGATCAAAGAGAATGCCTACAATTATAAGCTAAATTCTCCATGAATAAGCATTATTTTTATTCTTTGCCACATAGATCCATTTGCCATAAACAATACTCAAAAGTTGCTCCGGGTTTGCCAGTTGCAGAGCTAATCTCCCATTTCACCACCTCCCAGTGGTGACCTGACAACATGTGACCGTGAAACGACGCTGCTGAACTCAACACTCATTGGACAGGGCAACATTTTTCCAACCTTTCAGGTTTTAGTAAGTCTGAGGGCATTGTTTCCTAACTGACAGGAGCGGCACCCAGAGTGATCTTCTGTTGCCCATCTGCTTCAGGTTCAACATGTTGTGCATTCAGAGGCAGCTAGAGGGGGTATTCTACATAGCTTGACTTTAACAAGTGATTAACAGCTGCTCACTGAATAGTTCCTCTTTTTCAGACCATTCTCCTTAGGTGGCTTTCCTGTTAAAGGTGGAGTTTGATTTTGCTACATGCTCAGTATGAAGGACAGCAGCAGGACTGTCCACTGTCGCTACGTGCGTAGAAGAGACAATACTGCGAGTCAGTGACCTGATGCATTCTGCTGGGTTCCCTTAGATTGAAGAAATTTGAAATCAATTTGAATAATGAACTGATTTTACTACATTTTTTGACTATCTGGATCAATATGAATGTATGTATTATTGGATTGAATTGATTTTTTTCGTAAAGTGCCTTGAGATAACACATGCTATGATTTGGCATTGGCTAAATAAACTGAATTGAATTAGCTGTGCATGAAAGTTTCAGTAGATTAGAGGTTTGATCTCTATGGAGCCTGTCTGTCACATTCAGTCTGAATTTCAAACAAGAGATCTGGACTCTTCATATCTTGGTGCTTAAAGTCACTGAATCACTTATATTGACTTACAATTTGGGTTGACAAGGAACCAAACTGGCTTGTTTATATTGGAAAAATTTTCCCAGTGAATATATGGCACTGTTGCCTTGCAGCAAGAAATTCCTGTTTTTTTTTCTGCATGGAGATGCAGACTCCATGCAGTTATGTCAACTGGTCTCTCTAAATTGCACATAGGTTTAGTGCGGGAGTGCATGTGATGGGCCGGTTCACCATCTAACGACTGCTGAAGGTAGACACCAGAATGATGGATGGTCCCATGCATGTAAACTCCATGCATGTGACCAAGGATTCAAACCCAGAATTTTGTAATTATATGCATCAATTATATGCATGTGAGTTACATGCATATAATTGATGAGGCTATGGATGTATAATGATTTTAAAAAATATTTAACTGCTTGAACTTATTCAATTCTGAAAGTAGTGACACAATCACAATGATATTCTAAGAATTGAATAATATTTTTATGTCATAATCCTGTAGAGTATATCATTATTATTATTATTGTTGTTAAGATTGTTTTATATATATCTTTTAAGACTTTTGGAACTTTTTTGTGAACCTCTCTCTCTCTCTGTGATGCTGCTGTTATACCTGAATTTCCCCTGTATGGGACAGTAAAGGTTATTTCTATGCAATAATTTAATAATATATAAACTGAATTATATAAATAAATTTGTGTAAAATATAACAGATTAAAAAGCTAAAAAAAGGACAAATACTGCAAAGAACAATTTTGCTCTACACAGCAGCACCTGCATCGCTCCTGTAGGAACCAGCGCTGAGGGCTACAGTATTGTTGAGCTAATATTACAGTGTCATAGGGAAGCCCCTTTTTATAAGAGGCATGAATCACATGGCTCAGGTCTGCTGCTGCATCATCATCCTCATCATCCTCCCTGATACTCATCCACAGTGGAAGCAGGACGCTCGCGGGCAGCAAGGTGCTCATCTGACGTGCCGACGTCACCGGGTCTTTGACAGCACTTCCTGGAGTGGTGTTTGTTGTGGGAAGCGGCCCCGGTGCTGCTGAGCCGAACTGGGGAATTAGGCCACATACAAGGCAGGAACAGACGCGACACGCCGTTGCTTCGCTCAAACATGCGGACGCCTTTGACCGCCACCAGATAATAAGGACAGAGGAGAGAAGAGCAAAAGGGGGGGACGCTGGAGAGTCTGAAGGACGAGGTGGAAGAGGGAAAAACATATCCTCAGAGCTGCACAGCAGAGCCGCCGACAGCACGGAGCTGTCGCGATGTTGTAACTAAACCATGGACAGCAGGATAAAGTAAGACCCCGGAGTTTCTTTTTCTCATTTCCTCTCCGTGTTCTCCCCTCTTGCCACCATTCAAACTGTCAAGCTAACGGCTAATGTGGCGGCGGTTGGAGGCACGTCGCGTTGACTCGGGGCTGCGGGAGAAATGCGGAGGAATGTTCGGCGCAATCCCGAGCCCGTCTCCAGCCGCGGACTTAACGGTCGAGCCAGCTGGCCCAGACAGCATGTGGGTTCAGTCTGTGGCCGTCTGCTAGCTGCCCACCGGTTAGCGGCTGTTGACAGCCAGAGCAGCGGGCGGACTCGGATAGCAAACACGGGCAAAGTCCAGAGAGCCGTGAAATGAGACAACTTCTCGTTTTAATGGTTCAAAAAGAACGTCGAAAAGTCCACTTGTTTGGCTAATTTAATTTAAAAATTACATGTTTTAAATTAAATTAAAAAAAATTAATTTCACACAGTCATATATTTTACGTAGCCTATTTATGTTAAAAAATAAAATGTTCCTCTATATTTTCATTTTCATCCCAAGAATGTCTTCGCTTTGAATGTATTCATAAAACTATCCATGAATAAACTGCTTAAAAATAAATATTGAAAATGACATTGATGTAATTTGGAAGTTTGCAAATAAAAATGATAATATTTAAGCACAAAGTTGTTATCTTAAAGTCCTATTTCTGAGACTCTTTAGAGTCTTACAGGGCCATGTAATAAACTATGGCGGCCGGATTTGTCCCCCCAGCCTTGAGTTTGACACATATGCTATTTACTCTTCATAATATGCACTTAACAGTAAGACATGGCTTCTTTTGCATGAATTACTGCTTCAGTGCAGCGCTGCATGGAAATGATCAGCCTGTTGTGCTGCTGGGGCAGACATTTGCAGCTCCAGAGTCACATTGGGCTCTTAAAACCCAAATAAGACATATTTTTAGTTTTAAAAGCAATAAGGATGGGTGGCTTAACACATTCTTCATTCAAACTGTGTTTTTATATTGTTTTGTCCTTTTCTTTTTACTTATTTATTAAAAAGGACTTTACTTTATTCATTGGATATTTTTTCCTTTGACAAAAATAGGTGATTAATTTTGGTTTGAATGAAAACAGAAATAAATATATAATTTTAGTTTTTGTGGCATTAGTGGCCTTTATTTGTTAGTAGCTGAACAGGAAGAAGGGGAGCGAGAGAACAGGAAGACATGCCATAAACGGCCTGGAGGCGGGAATCGAACCGGTACTCCTGCTCGACCTCTGAGCTATTTTCACCCAATAGAATAAGGTGTTAAATATTTTCTTAACATCCAAAGTAACATCTAATTTATATTTTAAAGCTATAGGTAAATTAAAAGATTGCTGGCCCATGACTCTCTCAAAGCGGGGCGATACCATTGTCATCAAACCAGGTGTTGGTACGTAGCCCAGCTACCAACACCTGGCCTGCGTTTGCTGGATCTCGAAACAGTGACTCCAGCCGTAGTCTTGTTTATGCAAATTTCCCACCAGTTTTTCCCTTCCACTAAACTTTCTATAATACTGTTGGATATACCAATATATGAAAGCAATGGCCTTTTAATTCATGTCTGCTAGACAACTGTGAAGTCACTTTTTGAATTGAAATAATTGAAAATTAACTTCTAATTTATTGAGCTGTGCTTGTAGGACTGAACTGCTGCCAGTATTGATATTCTGGTAAAGTAGGACAAATCAAGCCTTTTTCCCCCCCTCTAAATAGAAGTACACAGGCAGCCTAATGCATTCCAGCATCACCACAGTTGTGTTTTTTTAATAATGAATGCAAAGTTAAAATGAATTTATGTTGTTTTCCTTCTAATGAACTGTAATTCTTTGCAGGGAGAACCCAGAAAGAACATTTGATCTGGTAGTACAAGTGGCGTGCCCATCGTCTGAAAATGAGGGTAGGTGATGTCAATATTTCCATTCATAATATTTGGATTGTGTGTCGTCTCCTTGGTGTGTGCATGTGCTGAAAGTTTATGAAGCTTTTCATCCATAGAGCAAGAGCTCAAATATGTACACTTTTAATTATTTGAAAGTTTAATTACCACAAGCCTTCCATTAATATTATAACCTTTGAATAAAAACAACACAGTTTTGGTTCTCACATAAAAATATCTATTCTAATCATTTATCATTTTAAAGATGCTATTATGGGATGTTAAAAATTTTTTACAGTTTGATTGTCATTCATGTAAACAAAATTTTGAGCAATTACTTGAGCTAATATAGCAGATATTAGCTCAAAATTAGCATTGATTCTGTCAGTGCTAAGTATGTTAGCACAACCACAATGGCCATGGTTTATAGTTATTGTGTTTTTTCTTTTTGTTGTGTAAATAGGCTGCTAAGGAGCACACAAAATTTGTGTGCAATTTCTGAAAAGCAAATGTTTGCTGTAAATTTATTATGTTTTTGACAAAACACATCTCCTGTCTGATGCTGTTTCTTCCAGGCTTGAATAATTATTTTCACTTTTCCTTAAGATTTGAAAGTGAATTGATTGTTTACCAACAGTAATGCCATAAGCATCTTCATGTGTATCCACAAGGGTTTTTTTTTCTTCTCTGTTTCCAAAATATATTATTATCCCCCAGCCTTTAATTATGATAATTGTTCAGCTTTCCAGTCAGAGTGCCATGTAATTTCAGTGAGCATTTGCTGAATGCACTTGCACATTATCTTAAAGCAAGACACCAAGTGTCACCGAAGTTCAGTGCATGACTGAGTGGGTCTTGCACAATGAGAGTAGTCATTATATCTCTACTGTTGTTATGCTTGTGTTCACCCCGCCAGGATCTAGAGGACAAGAAAAGGTCAGGATTGAGTTCAAACGAAAACCTCAAATGTCAATAAGTTAGCTTTAACATCTTGCTCTGAGACTGATCAAGTAGATTTATAGTTTATTTATTTAACAAATGTCTTGAGTTGAAGTTGAAGTTTTATTTTTGTAACTGTTACACCACAAAAATGCTTTAGAAATCACATTATTGGGTCGGAAAGCTGCTTTACTGTTCTGCTGTTTGCATTAATAAAATATTCCATCGCTGGTGCCCAGAGCTTTTCTGGGAAACGACCGTGGCTTATAAGGAACAACGCTGTGTTCTACCTTTTCATGGATATGGAAATTAAAATATATATTTCACATCAATATCCACAATCCCTCATCAGTTGAATATTATGTAAAAACATTTTTGTTGCACATTACACCCACTGTCTTCTTTTGCCCGCTCAGTGGACTGGATTTAAAGAGGTGTTATTGGATGGCTCACTTGGGCAGCTGCTGGCCTGACTAGGGAAGGCTGAAAGTTGTCCTTGGATGTATTTCTCATATTGGATTTTAAACCAAAGTCATAAACCGCCGGATTGCGCAGTAATAACTGACTTCCTTCTTGTATGATCCGGGGTCAGGCTCATATCCGGACTCCCTGTTCCCCAGAGCAGACGCTGCAGAGAGCAAGGCTTGCACTCTTCAGGGAAAATATATTCTGCTCAGTTATTTGCCCAAAGTGTCTGTTCTGCTCAGAGTTCTGATTGGATCTAAAACTTATCATTTGAGGAAGCTGTTGGTGAGCCAACTCTCAGGAGGGGCTCATGGTTGCGGTGGACAGCGTTTGACAAGAAGCAGTTTCATTTACTCCAATGAGGAATGAATCACTTCTCCAAAAAATTGGATCAGTTTCAGTTTCTTTGACTTAACCTCAACTAGTTTTTATGAAGTGGAATACTTCTTGGGTGTTTAAACGATTCCCAAATTTATTTTAACATTTTAATGACCAAAATGTAAAATATAAATGTGTTATTTTTCTGCAGCCTTACTTGCATTTTTTTGTCTCAATGCTACTGTGAGCTTGTATTGAGAATGAAGTGGGTTAATGTTATGAGTCATAATCAACAGACCCTGGACACGCCGTGAAACCTCCACAAAGTCACACACACCACACACTTGCACCGTCTTCTCCTACAGTCAAACATGATCTTTTTCTTTTTTTATTTGCCAAAAAGTGCCACTTCATATTCACACATTATCTTCCCACTGCCTTAGAGAAGCAAACAAACAGTAGGGTGACCACGACGGGCTATAATTAAATTGTCATAGCAACGTGATGTAGAAGATTGGAGCATTTGGCATTTGGAGAAGTGGTGGAAGCTTGCTTGTGATTTTTCACATCTCTTCCCCACAGTTCAGGGAACTTGAGCTTTATTTTCGATAGATTTTGGGCTGTGTTTTCAGTGCTGTGCGTTTCCCTGTCAGTAATCTAGTTTACTTTGTAGAAAGTGACTGAAGAGGTGGAGGAGAAGTGCTTGCTGTGTGCGTTATCTTGCTGATGCCGCACCAGGGTTTTGCCACGCTCACCACATCCGGGTCCTGCAAGTTTGAAACTAGATCCTTGTGCAGTACCTTGATTCAATGCCTCTACTATGTAAATGTTAGTGCCAGACAATTGTGTAGCTCATAGTTAACTTGCAAAGTTCATAAAAGCTGTGCAAAAGTCAGGTGAAAATAGCTAACCCCATATGAAGGGTCACTACGTCTGTAACTAAATTTTTTCTGCTATGTGGGTTTCGCACCTTTTCTAGCCACAATGCTGAAGACACCCACATATCTGCAGACAGGCCTGCAACGAGCCTGCATTTCAATAAGCTGTTCCATCTTGGCCTTGTTAAACAGACTACTCTCTAAATAGATTGTGCTCTATATAGTTACCATTTCACTTGGCAATGTCTTCATTTTCATGTGAAATGGTGCAAATAAAGTTTTCACTGCTGTGGGCTGGATATATGAAAATTACAGACAAGCCTCTGCATCCTCTTCTTAAGACTGTCTTTAGTCAGAAGCCTCTTCAGAACTACTATAATAATGACTGCTACAGGAAATTCTTCCTGCTCAAAGCCATCAGTATTTACAACTCTCTGATGAACATTTTTTGAGTTAAAAAAAACTATAATTTCTCTCTGGGATTAATAAAGCACTTTAAACTGTAAATGAATCCTCCCACCTGAGCTCTGGGTCTCTGCAGCTCCTCTGGAGTTAGCATGTGCCTCATTACAGCTGTAGTTATGTGGAAATTAAGTCACACACAGGTGAACTCCTCTATTTATCTGACTTTTATGACTTCTGAGTATTCTTTTGGAGTTTTTGAAGACATTTCCCAGTAAAGGCGACTGAATAAGTTTTAGTGAAATAGAAAATTAGGAACCTTCTATCACTTTTTTCCACAATTTTATATGACTTTCTTTCTCTCAAACAATCCCTTTAAATTACATTGAAGTTTATGCTTGCAGTGAGGTGTACAAATATGATAAAGGGCACATTATGCCACTTCAACGACCAGTCCTTTTTTTTTTTTCAAGTGACTTCAGTTTGCATAATATTTGTTGCTGATGCATGTCCTAACATCTGGCTAAATACTATCAGCTTGTAAGAAGAAAATTGTTAATTTGTTATTAGGGAGCCAAAAGCACCTCATAATTTGACTCTGCCTGTGGTCTGAAATGTTGCGTTGGATCAACTCCCAGTCATTATTCCCCATTGGTAGCTTTTTCCTTTTTTTTCTTTGGCAGGCAAAGTGCAGCATCAGCAATGTAGGTAATCCACCAATTTCAAGTTTAGATTGTAAAATTTGCAGTGAATGATAAAATACAATTTCAAACTCTTCATCGATTGAATTGGGGCTGAGTCAATTAATCAGACTAATCGTGATTAATCTATTAGTGAAATAATTGTCAGCTAATTAGTGATCAGTTAATTATTATCTGGAGTATGTAGACTAAAAACGGCTTTTTCTTCTGGAGTGGACAGCTCAGAGCAGTAATTAAATGTGCAAAAATGTTTTCATTTATCTGTTAAGATGAAAAGAATAAATATGTTCTACTCAGAAATCTTCATAATTTTAGCTTCACTTGATTCAAATTCTGTAAAAAAAAACATAGTAAGCACCTTTTACTATCTTATTATTAATCAGTTAATTCAAGAAATAGTCAACATATTATATATAAGCTATAATAATGCTAAGTCAAGCGAAATTCTTATTTTGCTGCATTTTAGGCAATAAAATGTTTCCTTTTTTTCTTTTAAAAAGTGGTATTATCAAAAATCAGCAGAATTTTTTTTCTCCCTGTAAAACATCAGAATAATCAATGGAATAATCGATTACTAAAATAATCGTTATTTGTAGCCCTACTTGGAATTCTCCATATGTTATTTTCTAAAAAGTACTAGTGCGTTTTTTTAATACAGTGCATCAGCATTCTGAAACGGTGTTGGTGGAAGGAAACGAGTGAGAATTTAAAGCTTGCCACTGCAGTGGTGGCGATGTTCCTACCTGGACTCGGCCCCACACTTCTAGCCACAGATCTGTGGCTAGATGACAGACACTGTCCCTTTTCCCCCCATGCAGGTCCATAGAGACCTGGCCTCCCTGTTCAGCACCCCGCTCAGTTCTGCTCAGCTCTGTTGGCACGCTGCTCTGTGGATGCTCAGGCTGTGAGCAGAGTGTTGCCTGAGAGCGTGACTGGCATGCTAGCTACTAGCAGCCCTGGCTACATTAAGCCATATTGATGTGCTTCCAAGATGCTGCCAAAGCTAGCAGATGACGCTAATGCTGCCAAAGCAGTAGGTGGGGACAGATGCTACCTGTCCTCGCCTGCTCCCTACAGCCAGATTGTTCCCACTAACAAACCAATAAACTTAATAGACCAACATATCAGTTTTACAGCAACATTTATGCTGCAATTAGGGAAGCGATTTATTATTAACATAAAACTCAGTGATGGCAGGCAGGTTAGCACTGGGGTCTCCCTGGATGGACAGAGGTTTAGGTTTCTCTTCTTGCCCCCCCTTTTTTTTTTTTTTTTTTTGTTCTTTTAGCTTTTGGTACCATAAACTTTGCCCTTACTA